TTCTTCTTCTTTTTTTTTTTTTTCTCGTTGAGTTTATTGGTACTTTTTAGGTATACAGTACAGTTACATTCATCATTGGTATCTTGTACCTTTACATGACAGGTCTTGGTTCTCATCTTTTTCCCCTTGTCCCTGCCCTCCCTTCACCCCCTCCTCCCTTCCCTATTTAAAAAAACTTTATTTCCATTTTTTCATTTTCTCATATTTTTTTCTTTCCCCTATGTCCTTTACTTCTTTTCATGCTTTTCTTTCCTTAAATTACATGCACTAGATTACCTGTCTCAGGCTCAAAAGTGCAAGGAACAGTAAAATCAGGACAAGTGAGACTGTTCTTATAACAATGTTTATAGCACAAGGAAATACAGAAAATGTCAAACATGGTTTGGATTGTGGAACAAAAGGTTCTCTATTTTTCATATATATTATGGTCTAAAATTAGACAGATGGGTTCTGAAAAATCAGAAAAATTTTTGTTTTAGGGGAAATTTTATCCTAGGAGAAATAAATAATTAAACTTTTGAAGAAATATTTAAATTATAAAGTTGTTCGAAACAGATGTGGACAATATATCATTTTATACAATAAGGTACCACCTCCAAATTAACATTTCAAAGTTTTCTTAGAACAGCATTTAGTAGGCAAAGGAAGCTGATAATGCTGGAATGGATTTTCAGATTGTGATTGCATAAGAGAGTAGACAAGAAATGTTAGATCTAGGGAAGTGTATTACAGTGGCATTGATACTCACAGCTGTTGTACCAACTTCCCTAAGTAAAACTGCAGGAGGAATTTCCCCATTGGCCTTATGCCACATTCCTGACAAAAACTCTCTATCTGTGTCTTCTCTCTGTACTATAATTCTCCTGCTCACCCTTAAGGCGTGTGTGAAAATCACTCTATCATTTGTTCTGCACAGTTACCCCTAAACTTACTGTATCAGAATCTTCTTTCAACTTCTTTTTAAAATTCATTCCTGTCTTTCCATTCTCACTGCATCTTCACTAGATATGAGGCATGGATGAAAGATACGTTGATTGTTTACAGTTTAAAAAATCATTACAGTGAAAGGTAAATTGTCACCACCACCCCCCACACACCATTCCCAACACACGCATCCCACTGGAAGTCCCTTTGTGAGTATCTTCAGTTGTGTTATTGTGGCTGCCTCGTGTCCTGAACTGGTTCAAAATGTTTACATTTCATGATCATTCTGACTTTGGGGAAGAGCCAGAAGTCATGTAGTGCCAGATCCAATGAATGAGGTGGATGAGAAAACACTATAATGTCTTTACACGCCTGCTTTCCACTTATTTACTCACACCCAGTAAAGACACTTAGAAAACTTCCAGAACTGCTTAAGAAAGTGGTAAGAGCAATGGGTAAGTCGGTGTGAAGCGACGGTATTATGAATTGGATTAATGCTGATGTGTCTTTCACTATACATTTTAATGTTCACTGTACAAAATAATTTTTCTAACTTAAACATTCACTGTACATTTCAATCATATTTGGTAATAATTGGCTCATATGCAATTTTTTCTAAAATAATTTTTAGCTGTTACAAACTTCAGGGAAAAGTGAGCACTCTAACACAGTTTTAGTTAAAAGCGTTCTCTCATTTACCTCCAAAGTGTGTCCTTTGGTGTTTAAGTCAAGACGGGAGAGCTGCCCTTTGTCAGTGTGCCCACAGCCCAGCCAGATGTTTGCATTCTTGCTGTTAGGATTCATAGAAACCATGCATTCAGCAATAATGTTTTTAGGTATCAAAATATGTCTCATAAGACAGATTAACTCAGCTGAGTTCAAAATGTCAAACACCTGAAAAAGTTTAAAAATAAGGAAACACTTGTCAAGTTTCACATTTCCTCTTGAAAGATCAAATATACAACTGAATGTTAATCAGTACAGCACTGAAAACCTAAACTGATTCACTAAACAGTAACCTATTCACATCATCAAGATTAACAATCCAAATTCCAGATAGAATCTCATTTTAAAATGAATACATATTTTTAATTGTGTACTACATATTCTCTTCTATACGTATTTTTAACTTGAAAATAAAATCTGAAAAGTGTCAACTGAACAGAATTTTAGCAGACAGGACTTGTTCTTCACTCTTTTCTATACTGCAGAGCCATTTTGCATGGGAGAAAAATACCAGGACCACCAAGAGTAGAACTTCTACCAGTTGAAGGAAATGGAAATTTAAATCGTTGGTTAAAAAATTTTAGAAATCATTTGTAGATTCTGTTTCTGTGATCTGCCTTCAAGCACTGAAAAATAGGAGACAATATGAACCATTGTAAGGAAACAGAAGAAAGTGTCAGGATACTCAACGACATCCATGACAGCTTCCTGCCTGTCACTTGTGAGGCCACAAGGAAGCTCCTTACACTCTCAGGGCATCATCAAATTCAGGGGATGTTACCCATCTTGCCCACTGTACATTGTATTTAAGATAAAATAGATATACCCAGGGATGTAGCTCAGTGGTGCTGTGCCTGTCTGGCAAGGGCAAGGATCTAAGTTCAATCTCCAGTACTGGAAATAATAAATAAATAAATAGGTATGTCTAAGCTTTTTGATACTGTTATATATGTCAAAACTCAAGGATGTTATACACAGTCTTCTATAAAATACAGGTTAACTATAATAAAGGTAGAAGAAGGGAAAAGGAAAACACTAAGTTATGGAAAATTTCATGGAGGTAAAGAAAAAAATAAATATAAAAAGTCCTGGTGCCACCATCTGCCTTGCAAGTGCAAGGTCCTGAGTTCAATACCCTGCACCCCCCCAAAAAAAAGTCCATGTGATTAACAGTGATGGTAACCTGGCAAGCCAAGTAGTCAAAATAATTATCTAACATTTAGTAAAGTCAGTGTAGTTGTACTGAACTAGTTTTGATTAAGAAATTTAAAGTGAATAAAACTTTTCAAATGAATTATGCTGCAAAATAGAGATCACAACATGAAGACAGTCTTTATTTTGAGCTATTTAAATTTGTACTAGTCTAAAACACAGCAAAAATTCTCTTCCAGATAATATAAAGAGCTGTCTTGGGCAAAACTTCTAGCTAAAACAATTTAAACTATTAATAAGTTCTTTATTACATTTAAAACATTAAAAATATGACAATACCATTAAAAAAATTACCAGACCAAAACACAGTGAGGGACAAACCAGAGATGTTAGTTGAAACCTAAAGCTAGGCTTGCGCCTGAGACACTTATTTGTTGAGACAAAATGGATGAGTAAGTTCTGATTCCTTGAGGAGCCCATGGGAGAAAAGCTAGGGTCTAGAGCATTTCCAAAGCAGAGTCTTAATAAAGCTGGGATTCTACGGGACTGCTTATCAGTATAAACGAGAACTACAAAGAAGAAAGCGGTCTACTCTTCCAACTTCATCGACCTGCATGGAAAGCTGCTATGGGACTATGCAGAGAAGGTGGGGTGGGTGCAAAGGGACCCTGAGAAACTGCTATTTATGTTTCCTCTTAAGAACATTTGCAGGCCAGGTTCACATCAGCTGGGTGATTAAAACAACACCAAAAGCAACAACTCAAACTAGGAATTGAGGTCAAAGAAATTTGTAAGAGAAATCCAACAAACAATACAGAAAACTTGCATGTAGAATTACAACTTTACTGAAAGATATTGAGAAGACTTATGCAAAAGGAAAGATAACACACAAGAACAGGAGACTGAATATTATGGAGATCTTATCCTCCCCAAATTGTTTACGGACTCAACAAAAGTCAAATCCAAAGGGCAACATGGTTTATAAATAAGACTGGAGAAAGAAACTTTAAGTTTTACATAGTGCAGTCAAAGTCCTCCAAGATGAGAAAAGTAAGTGAAGGGAGGGGATTGTTATAAAGCTACAGGAGGAAGAACAGTAAGTTAATCAATGGCAGAGAATGTATATGTGAATTTGTCAACATATCTTCAATAAATTACAGAATAGACGTGTCATATCAATAGAGACAAAAAAGAAGAGAAATATTAATAAAGCAAGTTAGAAAAATTGGTTTGCTATGTGGAAATTGGACCCAGATAAACATATTAATTCAGGATGAATTACGAATTTAAATGTCATAAATAAAATGAATTTACTCTTTCTCCTTCCTTTTTTCTCTTTCTTTCTTTTATAGTATATCAGGGATTGAACCCTGAGCTATATATATATATATAT